CTAAGAACATGAAGCTCTGGTTTAAGCACTCCCCTGCGTGTAGATTGCAATTTTGTATATCTTAACAGATGTTTTTGTCTTCTCTGCAATTATTTATCTGGGATTAAACTTTAAGTATCCCAGTGCTTGTGATGCTTCCAGGACCCGCCCCAACCCCCACGTGGGAATCCAATATTTGGGTTAAAGGTCAGGGGCCCAACAAAGCTGCTGCAAAAGAAATTTACTGATGCTCTTTGTTGGAGTTACAAAGTTCACATTGTTATGCACTGCTCCTGATTAATCGATTAGGAGTGTCATTTCTAGCTTTGGTCAGCAGCTCTGACCGTTTGCATATCATTGCACCAAACAATGAGACGGAGGGATGAGAGACCAGGAAGTTGAATCAATTGGAGTTTTGATGTTTATAATTTTCAAAATATGTTAATTTAAAAAAGCATATCTCACTTTCCATGCTTTGAAACATTGCTGGCATTTTATTATTTTTAATAAAAAAGGGTAGCAAATTCTGGCTCTGTCGAAATGTTCTTCTTGATGTTAAAACAGTTACTGTTTTAAAGTTTGGGCCAATGTAGACAGCCAGACAGTAGAAAAGTAACTTTCTCCTGAAAGACGGTAGTTATCTCAGACATCTGTTCTTAGTTATATACTAAATAACTGTAACGAGTTGCAGACTGCAAACGTACATTACAGCAAAAGAGCCAAATTGATCAGCACCAGCCAGAAAATGGCAAGTCTCAGTGCTGTTATGTAATTTTTTTTTTGTTTTTTTGTTTTTTTGTTTTTTTTGTTTTCTCGACTCCCTGTAGCTTTTTCCTGAGAGCTTCCTCCTCCTAAATAAAATATTACTTTTTGCTCTCTGTTAAAAATGTAAGATGCAGTCAGTTTATGCCTCCTGGTTTCATGTGACTCGACGTTGCTGTGATTGGGCTGAGCAGCTAAAGGAGAGAAAGTGGTGTGGGGATAGCTCAGTGTTGTGTCTGTGATCAGTGGGATTACAAGTGCGAGCCTGAACGCTGTTGAGCGTGTTGGTTGTTGTGATGTCATTCTACCCACATCAGAGGCTGCTGGCAACATAAGATGCTCTTAATCATTTATGGCCCTGTCACCACTTGTCTCAGTTGGATCCTGAGTCACACGGAGCAGTGAGTGCACTGTTATATAAAGGCTTTGTCACCAAGTGGCACGTTAACTGGGGCAGTCGTTTGCAGATAAAGTGTACGATTTTTATCGCGTCTTCTGAAATATTTTCCCTTTACATAAACATGTCATACTAATACAGTACGGTCCGCTTTGTGAATCTGCAGCAGCAACGCTTCACTTACAGTCACGAGGAATAAAAGACTGTAGAAGTCAAACTGGAATCTCTGGTTTAGGTGAGCTATTTCTGAGACATTTGTTTTTCTTTCTGTTTGGATTTTGCGGGCCCACATGCAATGGGAAACGAGTGAAGCTCGGAACATTTTCATTTTCAATATCTTTGAGAAAATATGCACTCATGCTGACAACGGGCAGAAGTTGGAAGAAAAACTAAAAGTTTGTGACTGTCCAAGTCCACAATAGATTAGGCCTGTTGGATTGACTCAGCCTATCCTTAACGCCCATTTCTTTAGATGCCGAGATATTGAAGCTGTCTGGCAGCAGTGAATAAACTGTGTAGTGATAAAGAGACTACAATTACAGGTTGGTTGTAATCAAAACTGCCAGGGAAGAAGGAAGACGAAGGGAAGCTGGATGGAATTAAATCGAGGGGTTGATGGATACATAGGTAGATAAAGTGTCCAGGTAGCACCTAAGAATAACAAAATACTTTGGACTGCTGTGAATTTTCACCTTCTCGTCAGACACATACCTTTAAACATAGAGCCGATGGAGCCAATGTTTGATTAATGCATTCTTTGAATTCCTTCCACTTCACCACTACGCACTTCTTTGTTTCAGTCCACCATATTAAAATGGATTGCATTCAACAAAGTGCTGAAATGTAAAAGGGACGCGAACACTATTGCAAGACACCATTTAAAACTTCATCATCCCGTCAAACCCTCTCATACAAATTGCTCCCAAGTTTAAGCAGCCAGTGTCTTTGTACAACAGATTTGATTGTTGCACATCAAATCACGTTTGCGATCGCAGTGTCAACGTGTGCAGCTTACATTGCACATGCAAGTTGCACACATAACTTATGCTGGATGAAACACTACGTTGGCAATTATATTTAAGTTGCATTCATAAGTGCTCTGCACTTGATGCCTCAGCTCAATGTAGATTTTGGAGGCCGACTTTCTTAGCCTCTCAAAAAGGACGAATAACAGTTGAAAACACAGAAGACGAGTGAGGACAAATTTGTTCATCACAAACAGCATTGGCCTTGCAATATTTGACAGAAATATCACAATTGCATTTTTTCCATATTGTGCAGCCCTAATTGTAGTGGTGACTCATTTTCTAAAACAAATGAATAGCCCCAAGTCCCCGTTCATACAAAAGGGCTGTTTAAAGCTTGTTTAAATGTTATTTTGAAATAAAAAAATAAGCCATGACCTGCCATTACCTTAAATTACCCTTTTTCTTTTATAGTTTACTGAAAGGCTAAGATTGAATATGACATGACTGTAGGCTATACTTCGTCTTTTTGTCCGGGCTACAATAGCGGGGTCACATAACCAAGAGGGGGGGAGGTTTAAAGCTACAAACATCAAGAATCTCCCAAAGGCAATAAAGGTGGCCATTTCCTGTCATGACCTCAAGATGTTCGCTTTGGGTCTTTTTGATATTTGAGAACCCACTGACATTTTTTATTTTTATTTTTATTATGTGGAGATTGAATATCTCCTTGTTACGCATCACTTCAAAAGCATTCCTATTCTGTGGAGCTCGTCTCATTGCCCTGCATAAGGCCACCAGGAAGGGTTAATCCATCAAAATGAGCTGATCTCTCCATGCAGGGGATGAAATCTTTTTCTCTTGCTGTCTCCGGCCGGCTTAGAGACAGGAAGTCCGATTGGTGGCCTCCACACTGCTCCGATGTTGCCATAGAGAAATACAAATCTCTGCGCAGTGGCGAGGAACATAATGCCGGATGAGTTGTCCTCGTCGGTCTGATAAGCATTCAGAAGCCACTAGTTGAACATCTACTAATTAGCTAGCATAGAACGCACGAACCTTTCACCGACGTATCATACCTTCTTAATGTAACTGCAGGGCCACGGTTCAGAGTGTTTGGTGTGCTTTCAGCTTTAAAGTATACGCTTACAAGCTTTGCATCCAGTTATCTAAACAGCTTTCCTAACAATAAGCTCATTTCAGTTCTCTTATGGGGTGGCGCAAGCTTGAACTCGAATAACTTTCACAATCAAAGTGGAGAGAAAAGATTTTCATTTGCTCTTTGTTCAGCCTCTGTGAGGGCAGTGCGTCTTCCCCATTAGTGCTAGAACTACAGACATACTGAATGAAGTCGTTGATAAAAACCACAGGTCTTTTCTCAGAGGAGCAAAAAAAAAAACATAGTGGGACTCACTTCTGTCATTTATCAAACTCGACTCTGTTCCATCTGGTGTTAGTTTCATTTCCAGTTGAATGGGTTCTTGTCAGAAATGCAAATGATGTTCTTTAGGAATATTGTTCAGTAAAGCAGCTATTCATTCATGGGAGCAATTCAAAAGCAAGCTCAGAGTGTGGGCTTCAGCCTCAGTTTGAAAACACTGTAAATGATGGTTCATGCTGTCTGGTTTGAACAATTGACACCCTTGTTACAGAGATCCATGGAGTTTGTGGACTTGTGACTCACACTAAGTGGGTTGCCGAGACTCAATTTTCCCAACGCCCGAGCCAAAGTTGAATTTGAGTTCCGCTCTGTTTAAATCATATCAGTGATAGTAAAAAACAAAATCAAGAGAATATATTTAACACCTTTGTTGTCATAGCTACTAGATTAAAATTAAGCTAATCAGAAACAACTGAAGTTGAAGGATGTAATTTTTTTCCTGAAATGTGCTCAAGCTTACGCCTAACTCCAGCTACATCTATTGCCTGTAGTGATATTGGCAACAAATTTAAAACCACGTGAAAAAAAAAATAATAAAGCAAAGACAAGGCAGCCAAAAATGCTGACAAAAGTTGCCAAACTTTGCCGTCTGTTTGTAACATATTTTCCGCCCAAGACCCTGACTTTAGGTCAAGGCAACTTTATGTATATAGCACCTTTCAGCCAACGACAAAGTTGACACATTTTCTTTTTTTCTGGTGTGGAGGGAAGAGGATCTGTTCTAAATAGTCTGTGGTTTAAGTTGAACTTCGCCGAAGAAGTACTGCAGACCCCGTCTCCTCTTCTTTTCCCTCCTGTTCCTTTATTATTTCAAGCTTGAGTTGTTCTGGCTCCCAGTATAATGTCTCCTTCTGGTTATGTAACAGTCAGGGGCCTAAATGGGAACTAAAGCACAGCAGACACTGCAGTGGATGGAAAAACAGAAGGAGACAGTTGAGAAATAGGGCACAAAAATGTATCAAAGGAACAGAACGAATTTGAATGGAAATCCACTACAATGGTGTACCTTTTCCCTCTCAAGTGGGTTGGTGTTGGGTAAACGTGCTTGTAGTTAGACAGCCTCCTTCACCATTACATAACGCCCTTGAAGATTTTTGCATTTAAAATGTTTTCCAGCTCGAGTGAGGATTCATTTTCGGGACACAGCAGCAAACGTTTCCATTCGGTTTAGCCATCAGGAAACAAATGAGTTACGTGATAGGTTAACAAAGTTGTCTGGAGAAGTTATTAATGGGGAGTTTAACATTTTCATTTGCTTCTTAAAGGGGCTTTATCTTTAAAAATTAGTCTCTAAAAAGCTTATCACTATATGCATGACTATATTAAACTTCATAGATTTTTTTTATTTTTTTATTAGAGCTGACGTGTCTGTTAAAATTTCCACGTTGCCTGCCAGGTTTTTACTTGGTCTTTCTAGGAACACTTACATTGACATTTGTTTTGTTTTATTCTACAGATTCCTTCAACTGAGCTGAATTGAAGGAACAGGATGGCTTCAAACTCTAAACACCTGGAATTACACTTGCTTTGATAACCTCCCACAAATCCCAAGGAACTTTAAAAAGAACCGAAAGCCTAGTTACTGATTTGGATCACAACTGAAAGACTGCCATCATGCCTATTCTCAAGCAGCTAACGGGCAACTCCAACCAGTCGAAGAGGAGGTCAAGGGCTGACCTGACAGTTGAAATGATCAGTGCTCCTTTGGGGGACTTCCGTCACACCATGCACGTGGGTCGAGGCGGGGACGCCTTTGGAGACACTTCATTTCTCAGCTCCCGATCAGGGGAACCGCCAAGGGAGTCCCACACAAAGGAAAGCTCACCAGGTCCCAAACCAGGGCTGCTGTCCCGCACCTTCAGAAGCAGCAAGAGGTCCCAATCTGTTAACAGAGTAGACAAGTATGAGACCCCCACACTGCCTTCTGCTGCCACATCTCTGCCTTACCTGAACGCTGAGAGTTCAAACATGGGCAACCAACTGCCAAAAAGTGTCTCCTCCAGTCCTATGAAGACGCTGGTGGAAAGCAAGCCGATGAACGGAGGGGCGGCTATGGCCACAATGGACGCCGAGCTTGACGAACGAAACTTCGGTGAACTTAAAGACCTGCCTCCGTCCATGCCGAAAGGAGGTGGGATGAAAAAAGCAGAATCCGTAATGTCCTTCCACATCGACTTGGGCCCTTCAATGCTTGGGGATATCCTCAGCGTGATGGAGAAGAAAAACTGGGAGGAGGACGACCTCGGCTTTGAGGAAGGCAAAGGTAGTGAGGAGCATGCATCGCCATCCCACATTCCTCACATCGACGATGACGACGCAGAGGAGTGGGCACCTTCGAGACCACCTCGCAGTAATTTCCAACTCGAGCAAAAGGTCACGGCGGATCCCTACGATCCGGAGATCAGCGAATCAGAAAGGAACAACCACCACACGGATAGCTGCTCTGTGTCCAGCTCTGGTTCGGAAAAGCCTCAGTACAACCTCCATGACGGCAACACAAACAGTGTGAAGTACAGTTCGCCACACAGGGATGATGATTTCGACTTCATGGATCAGGAGGATGACGAGATTAGAGTCTAGATTGAGCAAGAAGTCTGTGCCACGCAGAAGAAACCGGAACTTAGGAGACCACCATAGGAGGGGATTACAGTCAGAGTCGAGAAGGTTTTTACTCACTGTAGATCAGTCTAATGTTAGATCAGTTTTATCAACACTATAAATAAAACCCATTAAGTCTTTTTTCACTTCATAGCAAGGAGACTGACAGCTATTTTTTTTTTGTTTTTAATGTTTGGATTGGTTGATGCTATTTTTTTACCAGATGTCAACTCAGAGTACATTATTTTTCACAAGTTTTAAATGATAAAGGCAAAGATAAATCAGCAGGGAAAATTGCCCATTTTTAAAAGGAAGTGAAAGGTGGCGGCAAGATTAGAGAGCGGACTGTGTGGATGTGTTGTCAGCTCCAGTGAATGTGGAGGTAAAGAAGAAGAGATGAAACTGATAGGTTTGTAATCCCAGCGGTTTGAAGGTGTAGACACTACAGAGATAGAGTTATTACTTTTGCTCATGTCGGAGTTTGCTTTTCTTAAATCATTTTGTGTACAGACACTATAAGGATGTCAGTTAAGCATAGCCTCTTACGTCTGATGTGGGTCTATTATATTTGCCTCCTTCCTAAATTGATCTGTCAGCTGTAAAATATTTTTTAAATGGTTTTTGTAAGGGATTGATTTGAGAAGCAAATGTGAACTTCGGAGTCTTAAAGGTTTTTGATGTATTTGGTTGGGGGACTATTTTATGGTACTATACTGTGATCAATCTCAATGACGCTAAGTACTAAACTCAAGACACCGGATTTTGTGTGCTGCATCACTTCTGAAAGCAAAATGCCTTCTCGCACATCAGTTGGACTCTATCAGCACAAGGAAGACACCTCATCAATTTCTGTGCACTCTCACGAAACTGACACTCAGAATCGCTGTGCAACTTGGGGCTTCTGTAAATTTTAGAGGTTTTTGTGTATGTATTCTCTTTTCTTTTGAATATGCAGGAGTGGTGGATGTTTTTTTTGAAGATGTGTGAATGTATAATTTGTCATCATTAAAGGACGATGGTGCATTGGCTCTCAAAAGCGTACACCGCTTTTTACAATGCCAAGTTTTTTGTAATCTTGATAGATGATCTCAAAACTTTTTCCACATACAATGTGGCATTTTTCCTCTGGGGAAAAAAAAAACAACAAACATTAAAAATTGAAATAGCCAATGGATTGACATGCTTTGCTTTATAATTTCCAACCAACTTATGGTTAAAATTCATGTATTTATCCTGTCATAAATTGCCTGATTTCCCAATATGCATGGATTTATTTGATTTCTATTTGAGCACCTTTTGATTCAATGTCTGCATTTAGTCACGGCTTTAGTTCAAACCTTTTAACTGTTATAGTATTAATTAATTTTTTTATTTAAAAAAAAAAAGTCAACTTTCTGTTTCTACTTAAACAAAACTAATTGTTCGCTCAGATATATTTTCCATATTTGGAACAGATTTTTTTATTTATTTTTTAATCCGTGTAGATGAATTTATGAATGGCCAGTATTGGCCCAAAGCCTGCTAGAAAGCTGGAGATTAGGAGGGATTACATTTTTCAGCATCACAGTCTAAGCATACATCAAAAACAAAATGGTGGCTTTACAAGAAGAAAAATAACGTTTTGAAATGGTTTTGAGATCAGAATTAAATCTCCAGGAAGGCACCACCTGTGGTCAAGCGATAGCACCCCAGTCTGGTGGATTTGGACAAATTGTACAAAATTGAGTTGGCAAATATTTTCCAGTCAAGGTGTGTGATCTACCAAAGAAGACCGGATGTCAAAACTAAATCAAAAACTTCTTCAGCACAGTGTTAGTTTTCAGGTTGTACACATTTTTGGAACCAGGCTATTGCACCTTGTCACGCTTTTTCTCTATGATCTGTCCTCGTTTGCTGGGAGTCTGCTCTGGTTTAATCTCTATACTAACTGTACAGGGTTCCACTTTTTACTTTGATGCAGGATGAATGTTTGGCTATATGTGGAAAAAGTTTTAAGTCGTCCGTCAAGGTGAACTTGTTTTACATTCCATGTCCTGGCATTTTAATGGTGGGATAGAGGGGGCTTTTGAGAGGAGCTGAAATATTAGGAGGTCAGTGGCCGCAATTTCTACAGCCTGTGGCTTGTTTGTGAAAGCAGAAAGGGGACAAAAAAGTAAGTGCAGTGTTGAACCACACGTGGTTAGCTGAAAGCCTTTTGCTAGGTCTCCAAGCACTGAGAGGGAAACATACCTGCTGAACTGACCCCCACCCCAAAGTAGAGGACGCTGACTTTCTCTCTCGAAGTCAAATCATACGGTAGAAGTTTAACCTACAAATTACATGAGCCGGTCCGATTTGCCTGCCCTCTTTAAAAGCTGGAACTGCTCCAGCAACAGACAGATTGACATTTTTTTTTTTTTTTATCTTGAGCTTTTTATGTCTGTGTCAGGCCATAAATTACCAAGTCATACTTTCCTTTTTAATACACCTGGGAGAAACGTGACCCTTTTTTTTTTTAAAATCTAATTCTGTGTTAGAAAACTAATTGCCACCTTTGACAAACAGCAGCTTTGAATGTTCTGATGTGGAACGGATGCAGGTGTGCGCACAGAGGATCGGGACGCTGTGCCAGTCCGCCTCAAGTTGTTTCAAGAGTTGGAACAAGCGTGCTTCCAAGAAGCCTCCGACTTTAAAGCTATCTGCAGGAAATTTCCAAGTGCGCTCAAAGCTCAACTTCCGCAAGGTGTTTGAATTTGATAAAGACACTAAAAGTTTTGTTCCCCACCGGATTGGCTCATAATTGGCTCCGTAAATCAAATCTGTTAGGGATGCGTTTGGTTTTGTCGGAGACGTGTCACTTAGAACGTCTCCTCCACAAAATGTGCAGTCCTCCCTCTGCCGTGTTAAATTCCCACAGAGGTATCACGATGCAGAGAGAACCATTTCCTTCCAAAATAATTGCTTGATTTGTCTTGTTCTCTTCAAGCTGCTGTCTTAACCTCACCGGTGTAGTTTATAAAGGTAGTTTTAGACAAACAGATGATGTTTGTGAAACGTGTGTGCTAGGAAGCGAGCAGTGTAGAAAAGGTGACTTCAGATCCAGTTTTGGCGCATTCAGTATCATGAGGCTTGTTCACGTCTTACCTGGGTCTGTCGCCGTGGTAACTAGCATGTTATGTTTCCAGATTAGAGATCAACACCGTCACAGCACCGCCTCGCAAACAATCAGCACACTGAAGAAAAATGGGAAAAAGCCGGTGTTGCTTGAACAGCCTCTCCTCTTAACAGTGGAACAAAACTTTCTAATTATTTTTGATTTTGCAGATTAGTATCAATTTCGGCCTATTTACAATATCTTTCTTATGATTAAATGTGAAATCTGTGCTTTTGTGATATGAAGGAAAGTACTTCCCCCCCCCCCTCATTTTTATCGTAAAGAATCCTACTTTTTATATTTAAATAGCAGCAGAAACACTCCTCCATTGTTGTTGCTGTCAAGATTTGTAATTAGTGCCATTAATAATTCCAGAGAACGATCTTTGAAATCAGCAGTGTGACCGACTGTTAGGGTAGTAACGAGGGAGCCAGAGGAATGTTGGCGGCTTTAAGGCTAAATGGAAAGTCTGCGGTTGAGATTACACCTGCAAGGTTTGAACTGTTGGTGTTATGAATAATTGCAGAATTATGAAATTTTACTAAATTGCACTGGAAATGCTTCTTGTTTTTGTGTATTTGTTGTGTCGCTCTCTTGAGAGGAAACTCCAAAGTAAACCAGAAAAAATTATGTTAAAAATGTGCAAATACTGCCTGCCCTAGGTCTGCTTAAGCTCTCCACTCCCTGACAGTGTTTTTGAGGCTTAAGAAAAAAGATAAGGACAGCAAAAGAAATTCAGCAAAATGGCTCAAAGCTCATCTTTAGAAGGCGTTGTTCCCCCCCCCCCCTTATTCTGTAGCTTTGTTATGCCAAGTATGTACTGTTTTTATTCCTCTTCCCAATTCTGATTTTACTTCATATTAATATATTCACCTCCCTAACTTTTCTTTCTTTGAAAAAACAGCTATATTTTTCAATAAAAGAGAAAGCTGGTAATCTTCAACAAAGGCCAAGTCGTTTTTTTTTTTTTTTTATTATTTTTTATTTCATGACTTTGAGTCTCGCCACAGGCTGCCTTATTTTCCTTCTCCTTCACAAGTTTATTTGCATTCTGCCTCCAAAATGGGCAGCAAGCTGATTGAAATCTAACCTTGAAATAGCCTGAAAAAATGTCTGCTGAAGGAGCTCCAGCTCAGTCCTCAGTAAAAAAAAAAAAGAAGCCTTGTCCAAGTGGACTATTTTACACAAACAACGCTGATATAAAAGGGATGTAATATTATAAGCCACACAAGTCCGGGGAGCTACTTGAACCTTATACACGCTAGCACTGCTTATTAAAGGCTGGAGAGCTTTCCAATAAAACACAAAAATCATTAAAAAAAACAAAAAAAAAACTACCAAGATTAAAGGACATAAATACTTAAAAGGACACTTCAGATTTTGATTGTAGGTTTCTGTGGCCGAGGTTATGAGAGTTCGCTCTCTGACTTAAGGTAGATAACGTCTACTTGCTTGAAAAATATTTTATGACACAAATACACAACAGTAAATGTGCATAAAATGACGAAAACAAACACATTTATTATTCCATTTGCTATTACGGCTTGTCCTTGCAGGGTTGTACTGGTACTTGGGCCTGTCTCTCGTAGCCATTGGGCATTGGGCATTAGGCGGGGTACACTTCGGACAAGTTGCCAGTCCACCACAGATGAACAAAACCAGGCACACACTGATTCCAAAGAGCCATTTTAAACGACCAGTTAATCTGACGTGCAGCTTTATGCACTGTTGAGGAAGCAGTGAACATACAAATTCACAAACTCCATACAGAAAGGGCCTGGTTATGGGCCTCCTTGGTGCCGCGAAACAGTGCTAGCAACTGCCCACAATGCACAATGCAGTCTACGGTTCAAAATGGCAAATGATTTATAAGTAGATGCCAGAGAATAACAGAAATGACTGCACTCTGATTATTCTGTGTAGCTGAAAGGGTCATGTCCAACATCAAAGCCATGTTGCAGTTTAACCAGCGAGGTCATTCATTTTGTTGACCTTGAAATTGATGTTTCAATAAGAAAGTGACACACAAATAAGCAGCATTTTGGTTGTTCACGCAATGACCAGCGAACATCCCAGAGAAATCCAATAGGACACGTGGAAATGACATCAGACACTGTTTCTGCGACAAAAATAAGAAATGCAGAGGAACTGGGGAATACAGTCCAACAGTCCTGGATGGAAACAGATGGTTATAGGTACCGGTACTGGACTCCATGCAACGCAGATATTCAACAATTATCAGAAACACTGGTAAAATCCCTCATAGGAATTCTTCAGCTGAAAATTAATCTTTTCAACTTGCGACTATTACTTTCAACAAACCTGCGGAGAACCTGCTGCCTGATACAGTTTCACATTTACAGTCGAGAAAACTCAAGACGTTTCTCACAGCTGGTGGTAATCACTGCTGAGCTCGACGTTTCATCACGATCCTAAGCTGAAGGACACCAGACAAACTCATACGAAACCGATCACATTGCAACGCGCCCAGCGGCTAAACCTTAAAGATGCCGTTTAAGGGCGTCACATCTTATCAAGTTTGTCACTTCAATTCTGAACGTCGCAATTCATCTTGCTACGACAGGGAGAAGACATTACGTCGGGGGAATGGGAGGGGCAGCAGTCGTCCATCTTGATGACGCATCGTACCTGGCCAGCAGAGAAAAGCCTTGTTCTTGTGTGTCCACTCTGAGGACAACATTTATCAGCCAAATGTGTCCCACAGTAACACAATGTAAAGAATTTCACCTCCCTTGATAACAGAGAAACAAACTCACAACATATACATCATGCAAACAACCTTTTTTGAGTAATCTCACAGCAAATAACATGATAGTCATGGTAGTTCTGCGCAGTAAACTTAGGCTTAGTGTAAAGTTAGGAGCTCATAGTTTATAATGCTTAAAATCATAATTAAAAACGATAGAAAGTTGGCCACCATACCTCAAGGCATAGAAATGATCCAAGAAGATACATATGAAGTTGGTCAATATTAAAGGAATCTTATTAAAACGTCAAATACATTTAACCAGATTTAATTTAAAACCCTTCAACTGTGGGACAATAGAAATAAACTCCATCAGTCAATGTTATTTCTGACAAGCACCTTTAATTAATTTAATTAACTTTTAATTTTTCCTGATTATTTGAGTTCATGCAACCGAATCACTTTAATTGCTGCAATGAGCTGCATCCTTCTGTATTTGCTTTTCCAATAAAAGGTTTTTTTTTTCCCCCCCTTGAAAAATATTGAGGTTTTCGCTCATTAAAGATTGACGGAATATTTTGAAGTAAACTATTTAAACACCTTTTATCACTGTAGTAATCAGATATCAGACCTGAGATGTACAAATGCAGACTTAGTGCGGTTTATGGGCAGACCTAAGAAAAACAAGACAAAAAAACCTCCTTACTGAGCAGCTCGTACGTAGATGTGATACTACCGCCACCTAGCGTCATTTCTTGTGAACTGCAATCCGACTTGTACAAGAGTAAATAATCTCATTTTTGCCAGTTTTACTCAAGATTTCTATTTTATGCAGACATTTCAAACCATCGCAGTCCAGCCACAACAATGTCAAAGTCATCACTTGTTATATAAGTTTAGTGAGAAGGTACAAACAAACTTTTAGTTGTTGGATGATTTGAATTCCAGGGGGCTCGTTTCATAGTCACATCTTGTTTTACACTGACAATCAAATCTGCTGAGTAACCATGGGCGCCAAACCTTCCCCCCCCCCCTCAAACGCTCACTAAGACACTGTAAGGTTTGAAAATGGTATAGATGAACAACTTAAGACAAAAAGGCACATTAACTTTCATTATTATTTTTTAAAGAATTAATCTCAAGCTTTTGACATCTCATGTTCATCAATTTAATGTAAAACTGGTAAAAAGAGAATATTACAGGAGGGATGGGGGGATGCAAATGTTTCTTTACTTACAGGATGCATCTAAAAAGGCAATAATGTGTCATGACAAGCAGCCCCAGAGTATTTGTAGAGCTTGCACTCAGGGGACGTGTCTCTTTGCTACCCTGTGTTAGACAGTATTCTCATCCAGGTTGTAACCAGGCTCTCACTGTTACTGCGGACAGGCACAAGTCCCTCAGCAATCCAGAAAAGTACACAGTGGATAGATATAATGACTCTTTTAATATATTAAAAATTGTAATTGTGTTATTTCAATATATTCTCTTCACATTAAACAGAGGAGAAGGCCATAACTTGAGACAGTAAAAGAAGCTACAGTCAGATTTGCCTAACTTTGTGTTTTTGCAGCGTGTCTGCATTTACTGCTAATGTCCAGCAGAAGGCAGTGGTGTGTTTTTTTTTTTAATATATAAATATATATATTT